CCAAACATCAAAGGATCTTGATGCCTGAGGCATCAAGTTCCACACAGGTTGGAAACAAAGACAACAGCTTGTCGTTGAAGACAGCCATGTCAACACGCCCCCTCAAGCTGTTGGAGCTTGGGTGCTTGAGCAGAGTTTGCAGAACAATAGAGAAGAACAATAATAAAAGGAAATCCTCCTCAATTTCTCTCTGATTCTCACTAATCTCGAACTCTGCGTAATCCCAGGTTAGTCCTATGATAAGCAAACTTGCTCAGGACCAGAGGTTTCGTAAACCCATCTGCGATCATCTCATCTGTAGAACAATAGACGAGGACAATAGACCCGTTAACTACGTGGTCTCGCACAAAATGATACTGAATATCAATGTGCTTATTCCTAAAATGGAACAATGGATCTTTTGCGAGGGCCATGGCGGATTGGCTGTCAGTCAGAACAATAGGACGAATCGTTACCATTGTTCTGAAATACTCCGGGAGCTCCTTGATAAAGGATTGCAGGAAAAGGGACTCCTTAACCGACTCCTTGAGTGCCATGTATTCCGCTTCACACGAGCTCAACGCAACAGATTTCTGGAGTTTTGACGACCAAGACACTGCAGTCATATTGCTATTGTTCCCAATCCGGAAACAATAGCCAGTCGTCGACTTCCTGGAAACAGGATCACCACCATAATCCGCGTCAGAGAATCCGTCAATGACAATGCCATCTGGACTAGAACAATAGACCAGACTAAAGTCAATAGTCTCCGCTACGTACGACCAAATTTTATCCAGTAGGATGAAGTGGTCAGGGCTTGGATTGTGCATAAAACGAGCACAATAGGAGACACAATAGGTCAAATCTGGTCGAGTATGAACAATAGCATGGATCAATGATCCCACCTGCTCTTGATACGACCTCTTTTGATCCGAGGTCTGAGCTGGAGATTCCTGTGCGGGCAGGACCTGGAATCCAGGAGGAAAGGGATTTTTCGCCTTACGTATGGTCAATTTACCAAAACGTTCAAGGCACTTCCGAAGGTATCCTGACTGATTAAGGGCAATAGAACTGTCGTTACTATTGTTCAGTTCGATGCCAAGGAAGTAATGGATCTGGCCCAAATCTTTAATAATCAGGCCTAGACCTAGGAGGTCTTGGAGAACCTTTGTCGCTGTTTCAGTAGAACCAGTCGCAACAAGGATATCGTCAACGTACGTGACGATAACAATAGGCAAAGTTGGGTGGAAATAGCAAGTGCTATCCGTGGTCAATGCCACAAAACCCAAAGACAATAGCAAGCCATTCAGATAGCGTTGCCAAAGTCGAGGCGACTGTTTCAATCCATACAGTGCCTTTTGGAGGAGACACACGTCACTAGACGCGTGTTCAGAATCAGTAAAACCAGTGGGTTGTTCCACATAGATGGTTTCAGATAATGGGGCGGAGATGAATGCCTGTTTGACATCCCAATGACGAAGACAATAGCGATTCTGGATCGCTATGGCAACAATAACACGGTATGTTACCGGTTTTGTCGTCGAGGCAAAGGTATCACGGTAATTGATACCGTATTCCTGTGAAAACCCCTTGACAACCCATCTTGCCTTGAATTTCTCCACAGAACCGTCGGCATGCAACTTTTTGGTTAGGACCCAACGCCCCCGCAAGACGGGCGTATTGTCCGGTCTAGGAACAATAGACCAAGTCTTGTTTTCAATCAGACCTCGGTATTCCTCGTGGATTGCGCCCATATAGGAATCGGTTTCTTCGTGGGTTCTTCGCAACACTGAATTGACTGATTGATTGGTCAAGGTTTCTGTCGCGTTAACCACACCTGTTGGCGCCGCGGCTTCGATAAGTTGCTCAATCCATGACAATGATGATTGATCATGTGAATCTGAGTCAGCAATAGGAGGAACAATAGGAGAGCTCGTCTCCTCTGGATTATCCAGGTCATTGTCCTCCGAAGGTCTCATATTTTCCGGGATTTCGAGTTCCGTGTCGTCAACATCATTGCGGTTCTTCCAGAACCTATGTTCAAACACCGACACGTCCCGAGCCCACGTAGTCCTATTGTCTTCGGGAGACAATAGCTTGTATTGATTAGATCCGTATCCAATCAAATACCAACGAGTTCCGCGTGGATCCAGCTTCCTGACATTATCCTCGCGTTTGTACGCTAAGGATCCCCATACACGTATCTTCGTAAGATCGGGCTGTACTCCAGTCAACACCTCAATAGGAGTCTTGTTTCCTATTGTCCTTGAAGGAGTCCTGTTATACAGGAAGGTGGCAGTAAGAAGAGCATCTCCCCAATTGCGTTTAGGAAGACCAGATGAGACGAGCATCGCACGGACCTTATTCATAAGAGTCCTATTGATACGCTCAGCGATCCCATTTTGTTCTGGCGTGTACGGAGCTGTCGTGGTCCCCTGGATTCCACGTTTCTTGAGGTAATCCTGCAAAGATTTCTTCATATATTGTCTTCCATTGTCTGAATGGAGACGTTTCACGACCCGAGGATTCTCCGAAGTCCAGGCCTGTTTTTCGACAAATTTGATATGCTCTATCACGGTTTTCTCTATTGATTTCATATCTGTCAATAGATAGATCCAACAATAGCGCGTGTGGCCATCAACAAAGGTAATAAAATACCGATATTTCGCAGAAGTCCGGGGAGAAATAGGTCCGCAGATGTCCGTATGGAGGACATCGAGATATTGTTCCGGTCGAACAATAGGAGTCCGACTAACCACGCGAGTCTGATTGGCGGCCGAACAGTCTTCGCACTGAATCGACTGGATTTCTGAGTACGTAAGACTTGGTCCATCCAATTTCGCGGCGTTGGTAAGGGCTTGAAGGGCTGGTTTTCCCACGTGACCCATCCGTCTGTGCCACGTGATCGCGGTGTCGGAGGTCGCGTTGACCGTCTCGTCATGATTTGGGGACGAGGTCAACGTCTGAAGAGAGGAACGATCAACAAGATCGAACAATAGGGCAGCGACATTATCTTCCATTGTTCCAGAAGCAATGGCTTCATTTTCTCGGAAAATATAGAAATAGTCGCCTTCAAATTCGGCTCGGAAACCTTGCTTGGTCAATAGACCTAAGGACAATAGGTTGGCCTGGAGCTGAGGAACAAAGAGGACATTGCGTATACGTAAGATGCGATGGGCAAGCTCAATTCGAACCTCACCAACACCAGACGCCTGAATCGCTTTCCCGCTATTGTTCCCGCCCCAACGAATCGTCTTGTTTGTAGAGTCAAGACATGTAAACAGCTCGCGTTGCCAACACACGTGGACCGTCGCCCCGGTGTCAACGACCCAATCGGTCGTTTTTGGCTCAATGGCCGTGAATAGGACCGTCTCAGGCTTCTCAGAACCGTTTGAGGAAGTCATCTGAACAGTCCCATTGTTTCTCTTCCCATTGTTCCGGAGATGTGGATATTTTTGCCAACACCGCTCTTCCGAATGCCCTTTTCTCTTGCAATAAGGGCAAACGGGCTTAGAGTCTGACGTATGGTCAATTTCCATTGCGTCTCCGTGTAGGGACGAGGTATTATGGCTCGCATCATTGCCCGTACTGTTCTCGTGGGTCTTATTAAATGCGGCGGGGAAGAAGGCATTGTTATTGCCATTGTTGCCGGATTTAGTAGTCTGTTTACTTTTTCCGGTCTTTTTAGAGATGCGACGATATTCATCCAGTAGCTGTGCCTGGATCGACGCAAAAGAGATAGCTGTATTCCCTCGTATTGTCTGGATCAAAAGAGATGCTATTGTGTCGTATTCTGGGGTTAATCCATTGATAACAAGGGCCAGAATGAATTTCTCCGGAAGTCCAGAATCTCGTAAGGAGAGCTCATCCTTGATCTCCTGGATCTTGTTGGTATAGATCTCCATATTGCCCTTGCAAGACAATAGGGTCGTGCCAATAAGGTCCTGGCAGAGGATGAAATCACTAGAGAACCCTCTATGGCCGTAAAGGGTCTCGATCTTGTTCCACATTTCGAAAGGCGTTTCACAGAAACGAACCTGGATAAGAGGACCGTCGGCAAGAGTCTTGATAATACAACCTCGAGCCATCCTATTGTTATGGAAAATGGTATTGTATTCCGTAGTATAGGCCGATCGCTCTTCTTCCGTCGCGTCATTGGAAACAGTTGGATAGACCGTAGGAGTCTCAATACAAGGGTAGTATCCCTTTTCGTATAATAGCTGCTCAACACGGATCTTCCACAGACTGTGGTTGTTGGCTCCATAGAGCTTTGGGATCTTCTCCCCATCATTTGAACCCATTCTGAAGAATTGAGGGAACAGTAGTAAGATGAAGAGGGAGGCAAATGAGGAAGTAAATATAAGAAGTTCCTAGGCTAATTTGGGCTCATAACCTATTGAGATTGGAATATCTGTAGAGGCTCAATCTTCCACGATTGGAATATCTACAAAGGCTCAACCTCAGGCACAGTGGGTAAGGAACTCCATAT